GCTCCCCAGAACCAGCCCCTTTTGCTTTCCCAAACCTTTATTTCATTCCCTGTATTATCGCTTATACAGGAGAGACAATCACGCCTTCATATTCCACATACAAATCTATACATACGTGCATTAATAAAAGGATCACACACCTATGATTAAAAGGGCAGCCGCCTCTGAGGTGGAACTAGGCAGTTTTCAAAGGGCACAATACAAAACTTATCTTCGATCACTTACATTGTTTTTGTACTTTCAAAGCACTTCACAAATATTAATTAGCTCTAAACAAATTCTAATTATTTCTGAGTGGCCCTAGCAGATCTGTATCATCTGGTGTGAAACCTGACTTCAGTGAAGTCGCCAGCAACAGCTCCTCAGACCTCAGCCGAGCTCACATTTCACTCGCCATTGCTAAAATTCTGGGAGTCGTGTGTATCCTCTAGCAAGTATCACAAGTGAAGCTGAACTAGTAATAGCAGTAGTAACAAGTGATGAGGTTAAGGAATGCTGGCTGACAATAAAAGGATAAGGTTTAAATCACCTGAGCCAATCTGCGTAGCCTAAACGCGGGAGAAGCTTTGCCACACTTTGGGAAATGCCGTAATTGGGCTCTGTTTGGTTTCATCATCAGCTGAAATGGAAAGAGCTCACCTGCTGCTAAAACCAATTAATATACTTAGGGTACTGGGGTTAACCCCTAACATCTGTTCATGCCACAGGTCACTTAGTTAACACCCCACTTTGAAACATCAACTCTTTAGAAAGAGATTTGCATTATACATCTATATAATTGTATATAAAATTACATTCTATATATAAAATAAAATAAGTATAAAAGAGGTTTGCATAAAGATCAAAATACTTAAATTCCAAATAGCACACAGTAAAAGGATAACCAGGTATGCAGCAAATAAGCAGGTTACCAGTATTTTTTTTGCTAATTGTGGACAGTATAGTCCATCACATGCCGCCAACTTATTTGTCTCATGTAAAAAAAAAAAGCTTTGGTTGTAAATTATATCTAGGTATGGAGGTTAAAAATCCTCTGGAACCACAGATTATGAATCTTTTCTCAAATAGAAATGTAATCCTAATAGAAGTTCCTCCCTCTTTCTCTGCCAACTTTACCACCACACAATATGCCATAGAGAAAAAAGGGGAAGTGTCAACTTGTGTAAATTGTCCCTTATGTAATGCAAACCATCTGTTTAAAAAACAAAACAAAATGAAAGACCAAGCCACTCCCAAGCATGATCTGCTATGGAGAAAAAGAAAGAAAAGGAAATTTACTACATTGAATTGGAAGCTGAAGACCATGACCTGCCATGTAACCATGGAGAAAATATTTACCCCTCTCTTCCCTGTATTTACCCAATTTTGCAAAATATTTGGAGAAGTACAAGTGAATAGTTTGCTCTGCACATATTAGAGATTGATATTGTTGTATTCTTTTGAGCATTTCAGCTGTCTAGAATGTTTCCAATCGGGTAGGAACGCAAGCAGAGAAACCTCCTTGTTTTCAATAACAAACAGAATAGCTCTCTCACAGTGATGCCACCACTGGGTCAGAAGGTTCCTGAGTCCCAAACCACTGGGACTTAGTGGACTCCCCCTATAGCAAAGTATGGGGGGATAAGTATCGATATACTCTTGCTCTGTTCTTATACTGTTCTTTAGGTATCTGCCATGACAGGAATCTAAATGGACCCCTGCTATGAAATGTTATGACTATTTTTGTGTTATCTTCAGTCAAATACTAAAAAAAGGAAGTATGTGTAGAGAAATCAGTACTCTTCCTTTCCACAGTCTCTCTCTGGGTAAGTCATTAGTCCGTTGGGAAGCACTGGTTGAGGAATCCTACCATGTACATTCTCTGAAACCACTGGGAGACATACATTGGACCATCTATTGCTCTGACATGGACAGGTGAATCAGAAAGCATTGGATAAGTTAGCTTGGTTTCATTATCTAAGCTGAATGAAAGAAAAATAGCAGTATGACTAGGTATTCATCATTTTTTCTCTTTCACTGACCTCGAGGCTTGATCACACATTCTCTTCCAGCTGCAGCTGTGCTGGCTGAAGGGGTCACCATCTCCAATCACAGCCCCCTGCCAAAGGTTACCACTGTGACCAAGCTGCTTGTTTAATCACTTCCCAACATGTTTCCATTAAAATGAGCCAGCTTAGTTTAAGCAATTTTAACAGAAAGTCCTTGCTATCCCAGCTTGGACAGAAGCAAGTTGGGGAGTGCTCAAGCAAGAAGCTTGGCCAGTACGACAGAAGTTAGAGGCACAGTGATGAGTAACTGGAGGCAGTTATCTCTTCAGCTACTTGGCCTGCAGACAGAAGGAGGCAAGTAACCCAGCCATGAGGTGTGACCAACAGCACAACTGACGAGAGATCTGCAGTGCCTTAGATGTCACGCTGCTGAATTTGAGATACTTGGAGATCTGACTTTTCAAAGGGGCAGGGCATATAACAGGATAAAGGTCCCTTTGAAGGTGTCCCCAACTGGATATCCATAATCAAGGTACTCGGCATCATTACATAAAGAAGTTATGAAAATATTGGTTGTCACAACAATTCCGTCTTCCTTCTCCCCCAGATTTTCAAATCTCCCTTTTACTGAGAAACAGTATATGAAAATTTTTACAGTTTTTTGTTATTTGTGACTGGAACTGTGTTGTCCCATGGAGATTTTTATTGTTCTTATGTGCAGGTTGTTAATGCCAGTAAATAACAGAATCATCAGTACAGAATTTCTGTCAATCAGCCACACAAAATAATTCTAAACATCTGTCAGTCCAGAAAAAAGGGCAGGTTTTCCAAAAAGACTAGGAAGATGTAGAAGTCAGGTTCCATTTTCATAAGGTACATCGGCCAAATTTAAAACATACAATAGCGGTCAGGTGAAGATGCTGGTAGTGGGTTCTTCAGAAGTTCATCGGAAGGCCTTGCATCCAAAAGCAAACTCAGTGAAAGTCAGGCATTTAACATGCTGAGAAGCTGAGTGAATGATTCTGTTGTACACTCTGTTGCAATGCTATACTGGTACCCACTTTAGCTCAGTTCAAGCTAGCACAGGTGACTGTACTGAAGTTTACCGTACAAACATTTGCGAAATATCCCTGAGACTTAGATTCTAGTGCCTTTGTCACGCTTCAAATGAAGATCTAGTCACCTAAATCACTCAGGTGCTTTGGAAAATTTTATCCAAAGCTCTTTGGTTTACAATCTACCACATGTTTGCTGAGAGGACTGATACAGAGAAGGGCAAGCAGAAAAGTGGGAGAAATATGTTTTAATGGCCTGTCAAAACCATTACTTGATGTGAACATGTTATAGCTTTAAGGCAGCTATGTTTTTTGTTGCTACAGGCTTTCTAGGTGTAGCTAAACCCGTATATGCTTTTTTGTTTACACTAAACTGTGAGTGAAAAGAAAAAATCCTTTGGACTACTTATCACTTTTCCTCAGCTTCTCAGTCAAATTCAGTCAAACATGCCAGGGAATCACCAAACACAGAGTTGTCTTTTTCCACTGGCTTCTCCTCAGTCCTAGACCTTGGCATGCTGTTAATTCCAAGCCTTACTGCCAGGAGCAGCAGCAACTTTGCTCTTTTATCTTTTTTATTTTCAAGGTTACACAAACATGCGACTTCATGGATGTGAGGAACTATAGGACTGTCTTACAATTAATGTACATGCAGTAAAAAGAAGGGAAAAAACCAACCTCAACTCTTTCTACCCAGACCAGACTTCATTAACATGGATCTAATTTAATCTGCCAGATATATCTAAAGGGGTGCTTTCCTGACCTTTTCCAGGCCTACAGTTATGGTAGCATTCATATTCAGTGTGGTTTTCAGTTAAACATTCTGTAATGTGAATCACTACTTCTCCCATTCGAGAGAGACTGAGTGTGAAATCACTGGAAGAACTGAATGAGCCTATGCTTTGGCACTGCAGCTGCTGAGGGATGTGAAGTGTTTTGAACAATAATTTTCACTAGTGGTCCCACTCTGTAAAATATTAGGAAAAGGGATTAGTGGCCAGAGAAACTCAAGTTCGCATTCAAGTACTGTATCTACAATGTTACAGAAACTGAAAGAAATCTGAAATTGTGGGCTAAGCCAGGCTAACTAAAGGAATCTTTTTATGTTCTAGTTTTATGAAACTGCTGCAGTGGCTAGTCCTGAGTAACTCAAAACAACTGATGAATTCATGGGTTAGTCAATGATACAGATGGATACACTGACAAGGACATAATAAAGCTAAATATCCATGCTAGAGACAGAGAACGGCAGAACAAGCAAGTCCTAGATAACTCAGAAGGAAACTGATGTCAGAAGCGTTATACAAGCACAAATGCATGAAAACAAGGCTATGAAATTCATGCTGAAGCTAAGACTATTCATGGAACTTGAGTTCCTTGATTATTCTTTAACTTGTATTTATGATCATCCTGTTGACAGGAACACGAAATCCTATAGAAGGCTTAAATAAAATTTCCAAAAAAATCTGGGGAGTACAGAGAACAATACAAATCTTTCAAAGATTAAAAAAAAGTAGATGCTGTCTTTTTTTTTGGTGTTAGGATCTCATAAATATACTCATAGTTTGTATTAGCCCATCAAACTGAAAGGCATATGCTATCTTTGATCTCTGCGCAGAACCCCTGTTGAGATTAATGTGAGTTCTGTGTGAAGAAAGAGACTAGAATAGGCCCTCAGTTCACAAACAGTAAGCAGGCTGCTCCAGGAAAAAAACATATTTTCTTACAACAGTGTTGAAATTTATTGGGAAGTTTCAAATAGCTTCTCTTCAGATGTACGTATGTATGTGTGGTCATGAGTATGTTCACTTGTCAAAAAGATCTGTCAGAAAGAAGGTGCACAAATCTACTTGTGTGAAATGTTTTGCCATTACGTTGAAACACATACTTCATCTCTGACAATCTTTTCTCATACGGTAGTGACTAATTTCTCTATTTTACACTCATCTGTGCAAATTAAGGGCTTTGTCCGTCAGGCGAGAGAGGTGATACTTTCATACAGATTGGCGAGCAGTAGTGCCCTATACCCACTTCCAGCTAAAAAATCTACAGGACTTACTGCATCCCGCTTTGTAGCTGAAACCAGGAGGAAGAAGGAATCCTTGCTGTGCAGCTGCTGCTAGGGTTCGTTGGTCTGGAGGGAATACGGGAATCATTAATGGAGGCAGCTGACCCTGGAACTGCCGAACAGGAGAGGGAAAATCAAACGTGGAATTTTTTCTGGGGAAAATGCCTGCTTACATGCTTTCTCTTCCTTGTGATCTGAGAGCTCAGGTCTGAATATGCTCCTCCAGAATGGGGTGTTCCAGAAGCATCAACTATTCAGCCTTATCTTAATCACCGAAGCACTTCATATGAATTACATTAATCCAAAATAAATCAAAACACTCCACTAACGCACACCTATACCCCAATTAATTATTCCCTCCCCCCAGTCCATAACGTCCCACTTCTCTTTGACTGCAGGATGGGTTATGCTTCGCTTTTATTGCACTGTGTAACAATATCTCTGTCTCAGACAGTAGCTTTCACCCTGACTGAGCCCAAACATGAAGATACACACATAGAAAAGTACAAATATGTGCGTAAGTAGCATACAGCATAGTCGGTATTCTTTCTCTCCCCATATACATGCACTTACTTGTACATGTGAAAAAGTCTCTGGGAAGGTAAGAAAATAAGCGGAGACACACTTTATTCACAAATAAAACACCGCTATGTCTGAAGCATTAGCTATTCAACTTTGCACAGCAACTGTACACAACCATGCAAGTCAGGAAATGGAAAATATTATATTGTAAATGGATACTGTAGGGGACTTAAGAAATTAGTCATCAAAACTGGAAGTTGGCCATGGCACAACGTCTACTACTATTGCTTTTAGCCAGTTCTGTCAGAGTTTTTAATTACTAGAAATGAACATCGTCTTTGTATTTCACAGAGGTGAGAAACAAGAAGTTTGCTGGATTAAAATGTTAAATGGTTGGTTTTAATCAAAAAACCCGCTGTACTGACCAGATCAGTCAGTAAAAGAAGACTGACTCATTTTTTAAGAGAACTCATCCAGATTTTTAATGGCACTGTAAAGCTGAGGCATCAGAGGTAGGTATGTTATCAAAGACTAAAATTTAGTTTGTGGTTTGTAGCCTTAAGAAACAAGGAGAATTAGGGTATGGATAGCCGACCATTTTTGGCCAGAGGCGTAAGAAGGTGTTACTCCCTTCATTATTGCCTGCATAGCAGAACTGGCAAAAGAGAACCTGTGCCACCTCCTTGGCTGCCACAGTTCAGACTACAGCATCTTCACTTAATTTTATTTTGATTTAATCTCCTGAAGATGCAGGAGATGTCTCGGTTCACCCAACACTGTTACAAGGCATAAGACTGATACGAAATTTGGTATGGTAACCTCTTGATTTATATTAGGACCTGTCAACACCTGTGTGCGTGCTGACTGCATCTTTACAGGCTGAAACAATTTGCAAGGATGGAGTTCCAGGGAGCTGCTGATGGAAATTCTTGCACTGGAAGATTAAGGTTGGGACTGAAGCTAGAGTAGACGTAGCTCCACTCACTGAACTAACACAATCCATTTTTGTTACTTCAGTATTCTTTTTTCTACTCTGGTCCCGTTAACTAGAAGACATACGTACTTTTAACTGGATTGCTGGAGAAAAAAAATGTAAAATATGATTTCTTCCCTATCCCTACTCAGTCACCCTAGAATTGCCCAATGTCTGCCTTTCTTCATGTGTTTATTTTTTGTTTGTTTTGTTTAGGGTTTGAGGTTTTTTTTTAAGACAAAGACAAAGTAACTGTATTCTTTTAGAACAAAAATGAACAGCCGTGTGGAATTTTTGCATAGTACTCTTCTTCGGCAAAAAGCCACAGAACTTTTTTTTAAATGGTTTCCAAGGATGAAAGTGACTTTGCCAAGCAAAGAAGCTTCAAAACAGGACTCAAAAACACTAATAGAAAGACAGATGGTTCTACTAAGAGCTTTGCTGCCAAAAAAAATGTTAAAAAAAAGTGAAAAAAATGGAGTGATGTTATTGAAGCTGACTGCAAAGTTCTCTGATGACTGCAAATACTCTTGTCCCACTGCAAGTGTTAACTCTGCCTCCAGGGCTAATATAACTAAAGCACCACACACACACAAATTGTCATTGCCAAGCCCACAATGTAGCACAAGTCTGCGCTTGATTTCAAGTGACTGCCAAATACACGAGCAAAACACCACACTGAAAAAATCCCATTTAGGAAAACATTTACCAGGAAAATGCCCTTGCTTCTTAAATCTGACTGCTGCATTTCATCTTTTCAAGTCGCTGCTCCTCTTTATCTCTCCAAGGGGCCTTATACCCACTAATTTCAAATGACACAACCCCGGTTGTGTTAAGGAGGTAAGAACTATAGAGTGATGAGGATGGTTTGCATGGATACAGAAATAACGCAGTCAAAACAATGTGATTTTCCTTCCAGAATGGAATGTATGTAGCACCACTCAAACAGCTACACTTCATTTTCTCCCAAATACAAATAAGTGCAAACATTAGTTTATTTTAATCCGATTACCTGACACAATACAATGCAAATTACGGACTCTTCATTTTTATGGCTCATTTAACTACTACATCTTAACTTTTGTTATGTTTATTATTATTACCTAGAATTGCTAGGAAACAACTGTTTCAAGTGGCACAGAATACAGGCCCTCCTTCTGAGTTTTACAGGAAGGTATTTTCCTCTTTGTTTTTTTATAGCTATTACTACCTCAGTTACATCTCTCACAAATTTTTTTTGTTGTACGGTTTACATACTTTCCAATGTTTTCTAGATGGGAACTTTTTGATACCGCATTTCTAATTTGAACGTAATAGACTGCAAAATCAGAGCTTTTTTTCAGGCCTTTCAATTTGTTTGGCTAATGGACATACATATGTCCATAAAAAAGAAATACATCTTTAACAACCTCAAAATGCATATCACTGTCAAGATTCTCCACTTGCCAGTCAGTGTAGAGAACACGATTGCCTCTTCTTAATTGTAATTTCCTAAAGGTAAACATTGTAGTTTAAATCCTCACAAAAATCACAATAGATTTAGAGGGCTACAATTTCACTTCGTAACTTTTCATCTACTTTTTGATTATTAGCCTGGATGATACTGATACAATCTTCCAAGGGCCTGTTTTTCACTACCCACACTATTGCCATGATGTCAACTGATCACACAGTACTCTGATCTTTCTTTTAATTTGAATGCCATCACTACATATGAGATTGACCAGGAGTACTCCTATACTGCATGACAAACTGTAGAGGTGTGGTATGCACAGAAAAGGCATATGACATACATAAAATAACAAAGAAACAAATCGAATATCGGAATATTCTATACAATCAATTCACTAGTCAAGGAAGTCATACTTTCACATCTCTCTGACAAATAATTTGGGGCAAGAGGGAAGCCCATACTGCAATGAAGGAAGTAAAACCACACCACTTGGCAGTTTATGAGAAATACTCCCCTTAAGGAAGCCAATATACAAGAGTTCAAAAAGATCAAGAAAGTAAAGGTTGTCTAATTCATACTGAGGACAGTAAGTCATCTTCTGTAACAGCAAAGTATTTTAGGAGTGGAAGAAATTGCAACCAAGTTTCACCTAGAGCCCAAACCAAGATCAGGGACCCTTCATACTTGTCACTGAAAATACAAAAAGGGGACTAGCCCTAAAGAACTTATCACTGAAAAAACTAATACAAGCACATGACAAGCAACTGATAGTGTATCTACTGTCCAAGTGGGAAACTGAGGCATCCAGAGTTGCCTGTAGAAATTCTCGATTTTGGGAAGTGCCTCACTGGATCTTTATTTGTTTCAGTGCCTTTGAAAAATCTGCCCTTAAATGACTTATCCTTATCAAAAGAAATTTGTTAGTAAACTTGGAACTGATTCAAGTTCATGAAGTCTGGGCCAGCATCTTCACAAATCCGTGCATGTCCTTTAGGACTTGACCATGAAAAATCCAACCACACAAAGACGTGCATTCAGTATAGCCACAGCTAGATACCCAGCATTCCCAGCTTCATTATAATTGTAGTATTTCCGCCTAAATTTTGGTCTCCTACCTACTTTTAGGAACATACTATGGTTACCACAGCTACCTAAGCACTAAGCAGTATGTTTTTAACAGTTACCCCTACTGTTTGTTACTAGCTCCTGCTGTGACTTACATAAATTTAGATTGCAAACACTTGACAACTACAGTTCTACTCTATTTTCTGTAAAATGTCACGTGTGCTTTGGGACATTATATAAATAGTAACAAAGACAAAATAGTTTAAGGAAACATTAAGGTTGCAAAGTTAGGCGTTCAAGGCTTAGGCAATGCCAGAACCAGAATAGTATGCATGACCTTATTTTGGTGCTTTATGTCCATGCATCCTGACACAGTCTTTAATTAAAAGTTCACAATTTTCCCCCACACATGACTCTTGCTTAATCGAGCAGGCTCATAATTTTTCTCAAGTAACATAAACCCATACTTTCAACAAAGCTAAGCCTATAACATAGCAGCTGCTATTAGTTTTATTTATTTTATCTTTATACATTTCCACCAATTTCATTTCCGCAGTTGCTCATTACATGTTTATTAGCATAAACTTTTATGTAAGTTTTCCTCTCTCCAAGGTAAATATTTCAATACGTCACCCAGCATCCATATATAACACTTTCCACTGAGGAGTGAATACTGATCTTCCACCCACCTCTCCTTCTTCCAAACCAATTCTATCCATTTCGGTGAGAGTGGTGATGGAGTAACAAATTACTCAGCGTGAATAAGAACGGCTGCTAAAAGCAACACTCCCTTCTCTACAAACTGGCAAAACTCTGAGCAGTACTTTACTCGAGCTGTTTAGAAGACGCCCTTCAAGACCATTAGCATCTTTGCCAAAATGATCTCTTACATGGCTTCTTCATGTAGAAGTGTGGCTAGTTTTTATTTTCATTTCAGTTATTCTCAGCTGCTTCAAAGAAGTTCAGATTTTACATTCCCCAAACAGTGGATGCGCATGAATGATTCCTTTAACTTCAAAACGTTGTACGAATATCTTCTTGCCTGCAACTTGTTTATAAGTTAAGCATCTCTTCTACTGTATATGAAAGAATGTAACGT